ATACTGCGCTTGCTGTGCGCGCATGCCGTAGCATTGCCCCCACTCGATAAACAACACAAAAAAAAGTCCATGCAGATGGGCGTCTATGTGAGTGGCGAGCGGAAACGGACTGTAACTGAGTGTGTGGATACAGGATCTGGATATCTATCTGGCAGACGCGGCAGCAGATAGTGCAGATCTTAAACTCGTGTCGGTACGACGGAGGGGTGAAACTGCGGCAAAGCAAATCTGCCGAGAGATATCTGGCGGCGAGTCGATAGGAGCGCACGTACAGGGGAGGCCGAGGGGCGATTGCGGAGATAGCAGCCGCGACTTTGGATGACGATAAAAGTGGGTGGAGGTGTTGTTGCGCGACATAGTGATGGCAAGGCCGCGTAGTGAAATATTTGGGGGCGGTGAGCATGACGGTGGCGGCGGTACGGTGCGATGTGCGGATGGCGGGGTAGGGGGTGTGCGAGGAAGCGTTGACACTGAGATTTCGAGGGGCAAACCCAATCGAGGGGGCGTGACGCGAGTTGTAAGTGGACGAGTAAGTGGGCGAGAGTTGGAGGGCGTGGCATAGGATTGTGGTGATACAGGCAGAAATGATGGCTTGTGAGTGGACACGATGCTCGCTTACACACGCGGAATGCGGCTGGAGGGGGCCGGTTTACACTGACTTGCGCGCGGGTATACAGGTCGCTCCACAGTATCTCTCGAAATTGAAGGGGAGTGTCTGACGCAGTTGCCGCGCGGGGATTGGTGGGGGCCGCGACATAAAGCAGAGGCCGGAGGAAAAGGGTGTGGAGGGACATGGCCCGCGAAAGGGCGGGGAGGGAATGGCGACGGCGAATGGTTGCCGAGCAAGTGGAAGATGCGGAGATGGGCGCCGATGGTTGGGCGATATTTTCGGGAGCATGGCTCACAAGGGCGCTCCGTGAAGCAGTCGGGAGGAGAATATCTTTCTCGGCTACACGTGTGGCCGGCGGGGAGACAAGGCGGTCACGCTGGCGAGAGGGGGATATGTGGTGACGGCACAAGCGGCCGCGGCTGACACAACGAATAGAAAAGAGAGAAAAAATACAAGCGCGAGTGGATTTCGGCGGCGGGGACGGCGATTGGGCAGCAGGACGTGAGATGATGGAAGAAAGTAGAAACGCGTGTGGCGCGCGGCGAAAAGGAGGCCGGCGTGTGGTTGGTCAGGAGGGGGTGCATTCCTGGCATGCTGGGGAGGCGCGCCGTCTCTGGCATGGTGTGGCGTCTAATTTTTTAAGCGGCCCCCTCTTCACCACCCACCGTTACTCTTTTTGCCAGCAGCTCGCTTTCTTGGCCCTCATTGACGAGGCGTCACGTTTTCGATAAACGGCTCCCTCCTCCACAGCACTCTCCCGTTTTTTCTTCCGATTTTCTTGCTTTCTCTCCCTCGCCGCCCAAAATTCATTCATTCGAACTCCAGCACGCACCCCACCCCCCCTCACGCCCTCTGTTCACGCCCTTTCCGTCCATTCCCGTCTTACAAAAGCCTCCTCCCTTTCTCCCCCTCCCTTCCGTTTCGCCCCTTGCTTTTTCCCCCCAGCCGCCCCCCCCCCCACCCAGCCCCCCTCCACGCTTGTTCCCACTTTGCTCGTTTCAACCTTTTCTTCACCTCCCATTTTTACCCACTCCCTCCTTTCCCCCACCCGTCACACGCGCATCCCCTACCACCGTCCTTCCGACTCCGTTCATCTGCCGCCCCCGCCCCCGCCCTTTGCCCGCCTCTTTGAGCCCGACCCATCCCGCTTCCAAACACATAAGCCAGAAGCTTGCACGCCGCTCTACAGTTATCGCGGACAGGAACCCTGACCCCCAAACTACATCACTGATTCCTCGTTCGTACTTGCCAAAAAACCAAATACTTTCGATTGCCATCGTGCTATGTGCCAACAGACACCCCCTCATCATGAAGAGAGTCCTTTGTCTACAATCGA